AACTTGCACCCAAAAAGCACCCAAAACAGCACCCAAACTAACCAGAAAAGCACACCAAAAACATACCAGAAACTGCAGCAAATTTCGACCAAAACACGCTTGAAAACTGACCTTAAACATGCCAGAAAATGCACTAGATACAGATAGAAAACTGCACCCAAGAGCTGCCAAAACTGCACCAGGAACTTCCGCAAAACACAACCAAAAACACATGCAGAAACAGCCTGAATTTCGCCTCAGAATCGACCAGAATTTAGCCTGAAAACAGCCCACAAATAGCCCCAAAAACCTGCCTCAAAAATGCCCGGAAACAACCCCGAAAATGCCGCCCGGAAACTGCCTGAAACACTCCTAGAAACTGCCAGAAACCAACCAGAAACTCGACCAAAAACAGCCCGTAAAACCACCAGCCAACTGCACCGAAACAACCCCTAATACTGCCTTAAAAATCGTCGGCGGAAAACACCTTAAAGCCACTTTAATTCCGCCGGAAAGCCCCCTTGAAAACCACCTTAGAAAGGCAGCAGAAATCCAAGAACAACCTGATGCTTCGCAACAAAATGTTGGCTTGGTGGCGCAGGAGCAACAACAACCCGAGCCAAATCAGAGAAGAGAATCAGATGAGGAAGAGGAAGAGGAAAGTGAAGAGGAGCAGCCTGAAAACGATGATGATTCATGGTATAACGATGAATCAGAGGAAGATATTGGTTATCCATACCATTATCACTCCCCTGAAATGTCTCGCTCTGACAGTAGTGCTTATGGTTTTGATTCTGACTAAATAGTATGTCTAAGCTTATCATATTATTATTGCAGTATATATGAATTTAGAAGCCATGCAGTTGTTTAATATTATGCTAGACTTGGTTTTTATCTATTTTGATTGCGTTTTTGTAAGCAAACAATGCAGTTTTTTTATTAAGCAGGGTCTTTGGTAATCCCTGGTTTGGACTTAATTATGCTCATCAACATTTTGTATGGAATTTTTAAAAGTGATATGATATCAATGGCTTGGGTTATTTACTCGCCTATCTAATATTGTGCTTTTGTGGATTTTTTGATTACCTTAATTGCAAAAAAGTATTGTTAGCAATACAAATTGTGAGTACTTTATTTGAATAATGAGGCAAGTCACCAAGGCCCTTATGTATACTTTACTTGAATGTGTAGGTATAAGTTACAACTATATACTAAGAGTACCATACTTGTAGTTATGGTCATTGTCATGCTTATATATTGGCATTTTAAACAAAACTTTGTTTGGATGTTATTTATGGCCTGAGTTGTGCTAATGTATTGTATAATTAAGCATCAATATGTTACATGTCAAGAACTCTGTTAGCTGGAAAAAGATATGCCTAAAATGTAGGGTATAAAGCTACAAAGCTAAGATAGTAGTTCTGATATGTGGTGTAATAAGATGATTTAGTTATGATTCTTTCTATCTTGGAAACTTATGTAGATATCACTTAAATTGTATGTTACTAAGTTATAAAGTAATCTGATCGGACTATATTAGCAGTGGTTTTGCAGCTGAAAATATGTACCCTGTTTCCTAGATAATGAGCTTATGTATTTATTTCTATAGCCAAACTTATTATTATGTTACGCTGCATTTTTAGCAGCCTAGCTCATCAAGATTTAGGTCTATCTAACTATAACTTACCTTCTTTATTTAAGAGTATATAAAATATCTTGTTAGCTATCCTAATCATGCTAATTAAGGCTGCATGAGAAGCTGAATTCCCAGGCCATATGCTATGAAGTACCTTAGAAGCTCATAAGCATGACATATAAACTTAGCTTATATACAAGACTCTGTCTCACTCATGAGTTCTTTTGTTACATTTTAGGGATTATTAAAAAGCTTATAGAACACTGCTATAATTAACATTGAAAATAAGTCACATGAAATGAAGATTTCCAAAAAAACCAAGAATTAGCCTCATAAAAATAATGAGCATCTTAAAAAGTTCTCTTTTCATATAGCATAATTTAAGTTTGTTTCTATTACAAAGTATGATTGTTTTGTCTTCAATGAGGTCTAGATATCTATGTTGATATTTGCTATTATCTGAGTGGTGATTTTTCTTAATATCCAATATATAATGTTGTGCTTTTCTGCAGCAACACAGAGTATTATGTGACCTAAGAACTGCTTTTGAGCTAAAACCAACTTTATTGAAACTTGGATATAAAAATTGCATAGTTAGAATGCTTCTACTTATCCTCCAGATAATAGATTGTCACTTTAAATTGGCAGAAGACAACAATTATATAATACCCTTAGAGTTAGGAATATGTTTAATATATAAAAACCCTTTTAGCTGAATGTAATTTGTATTTCTGCCTCAAATAATTTTCTTGCTATGGCAGAAAGGTCCTTGCCTTTACTGTGTTACCAAAATTCTGCTAGTCCAAAACGCAATCTAGAAGCTAAGATTGAAGAACTTCTATATGCAGAAGTTCACTTACAGGGTCAGTTATCAGATGCAAGGATCACTTACTTAGATGCTGGGAAAAGAATATCTAATATAGAAATGCAATTGCATGAGGTGAGAAATGAGATTACTGAACTCAAAATGCTTAAAAAAAAAAAGAAAAGGATTAAGCAAATAGCTGAAGGTGTTTCTCAGAATGCTGCATTATTGGTTGAGTCAAGTCAAGATCCAACATGCACAGCAGAAACAACTGAAGGGCGGTGCTAGCTAGAGTCTCTGAAAGCCAACCAACAATCGAACAAGATGAAAGTTCAAAATTTGGTGAAGGACAAGATTCAAAAGGAAATGAAATAGTAACCCCTCCTTACTGGTTCTGGTAATGTCCTAAGGTTAGTATAAGGCGGCAGCATGTAAGCATATTTCCCATATGTAATCCAATTAGGTGTAATAATAAGCACTGGCAAATTATGTGGAAGATTATGCTGTAATAAATACTTGCTTAGACATTCATGTAGCCAAGTTTGAGATCATCAATTGTTTAAAAAGGTTATCTATTTGTTATCTTATAGGCATCCATTTAGATCTGGCAAATTTGAAAATAAGGGGGTTAATAAACATAATGAAGCTTCATTTTTAAAAGCTGGCTTAATAATTAACCACGATGCATTGATAAATTTAAACATTGCATACAACCATCAGATAAGGATAATATTAGCATAAGTCAGGAAGAGCTTTTCTAGCATAAGTTAAGGTACTTACAAACATGGACATTTAACCTAGAAGAATCCAAAAGGCAACCAAATAGCAACATCAGAGTAACTCAAAGTCACAAAAAGTTTTGGAGTTAGGCAGGGACATGAAATAATGGCTGAGAATTTAGAATTTTTGCAAAAGGTGTCAAGTATGAACACACCCAAAATGACTAAATAGTCGATCCTAAAGGACCATGTTCCTACCGGAAGCCCAATGTCTACCTAGCTGGAACTTCACTCCAGTTCAACAGATTTCACTATCCATTTAAGATAGCCAACCCTCTTGATTGCACCAGTCGGACCTACCTCAAGCTTAAGGGGCTTCTCTTTTAAGCCAGCAGCTATGTCTTTAAACTCAGGCCACTCTGTCATCTACATATAACACCACAGTCGTTATTTAGTATAGCAATTACATACAATGCTAATAAATACAACAATGCAATGTAGTAATTTCAACTTCAAAAGTTAACAGTAATTTCTAACCTTTTTCTGTATAAGTTCTGCATCTTAAGGCCAAGAAATGCCTCACATTGCTTTCCATATGCAGTCAAGCGGATACTACCAGTGTCATCCATTGCAGTAAAAGTAAACTAACCCTAAGAAAAAAATATTAGTTACTTACATATATGAAGCACAACAGATTAAATGTTTTATAATTGAAATCATATACCTCTTCTTTGCAGTGCATTGAGCACTGCATACATCACAGTAGAATTTGACAGTATCCACATTATCACAGCGTTTTCTGCATCCACTGCAGCCAATATAGGCATTTACGTCTTCTTGCTTAACATCTGGAATTGTAACCTTAATCCAGTGGCGCTCATATGCAGTAGCTGTACCTGACTGCAAGCAACAATGACATATGAAAATGTCCTGTAAAGAATTAGACCTACAAAATTTATAAGGCAAGGTATAGTTACTGTTTTTTTGGTGACATCTTTAACAGCCATAATAACATTAGAACTGCTCCCATCTCTTTGTGATAGATGATGCCCCATATGATCAGTAACACGATCCTGATTCTCCAGTACCCTGAATTAGATAAAGCACAAACTAAGTAGTGGTAATTCTAAACATAACACACTGCATCTACACAATGTATAACCTTACCAAGCTCTTAATGCATTCACTTCTGGACCAGTGGGGTTACGATCAATAGTGGTTGACATAGACGATGACAATGAGAACCCTAAAGCAGAAAGTATGAGCAAAGAAAGACTGATAGTCTGTGGAACATAAGGACAACAGTAAGAGAGAACCAAACCAGCGTGGGATGTTGGCTGCAAATGCCGAAAGCTAACTATCATGAAGGATTCACACCAAGCTGATAGTTGAGCACAGTCTTTAGTAGCAAGGTCTCCATACAAAGAAATAACAAGACCATCACCAATCCTGCAGTTGCAGTGAGTTATTGCTAGCACAAATAACAAACCAAAAAGATATGTAATATGCATATATATATATATATGTAAGGAATAACACTAACTTTTGCACACTGTCATCGACTACAATGACATCGCGCACATCAAACTCATAACCACCAGAAGATTTCTTCTTTTTCGTGTCTTCCAAGTAGACAACAACTCCAAGTATGTCTGTAATAAAAACACCAAGCTAATGAAATTTCCAAAACATAACTGCATGAGATAAAGAAATACACAAAGCAAAGTTTACCAAAGCGATCATCAGGACTACTTGTGGCTGGAACTTCAGCAATAGGAGTGTATTTTGGCAAAACAGGACCAGTGTTAGGAGTCAATGATGTAATTGCAGTTGAACCTCCAAATGACAAGTAGTAGTCACCTTATTTGTGGCGATACAATGCATTAGTGTTCCTAACTGGTGCATCTGCTATGATGTACTCCTTCTCATGCTCTAAAATATGTTCAAAATTTTCTATCTCATCATCAAATAATGTGTCCCTGATTTTGTTACCCTATACATACAGCAACAATAAAATCCGATAGAATTTAATTATAATCCTTAATTTGGAAACCGTATCATTATATCATTATACCTCGTCATCTTCAAAGACAAGTTTCTGGAAAGCCTTTTTGGTGCCTGGGTATTTCGCAGGTGACTTTTCCTTGACTTTAACCTTGATCTTATATTTATTAGTCTTGGGAGTTAATTTGTCCAAAGGAACATATTGAGGTTTCATCTAATATAGAGTCATGTTTAAAAAACACTATTATTAGCTATCTGTTATAGTTGATCATTAATCCAAAAATTCATGTTGTTTGCAAAAGTCTAAGACAATAGCACTCTAATTTCAGTCGACATGCTGTTACAATAAGCGCTAAATAACTAAGTTTGTAACACACTTGTCATAGTATACACAACCAGCAGTACAAACACTATATAATAGCCAACAAAATATAAGCCATACTAAAGCACATTAAAGATTGCAAGTTATACAGGTTAGTTAATTTTTAACCATGGAAATTAGCATGCTTTCTACGAAAGATCCTAACTAAAATCTAGCAGAGGGATATACTAAAACCAGTATTTAACACCAACTATCATGTCATCCCTGTACAGAAAACATGGATGCAATGTTAATAAGTATCAGATAGTAACATTTGATGTCCAAGAGAGCCTTGCTAGAGGAAGTATTTTTTTAAAAAAATGCATAGCATATTTAACATAATAAATAGAGGAAATCATAAGTGTATGCACTCTACAATAGACAAGATATCAGGCAATACTCAAACTTTTTAACTATACTAAAGCACATTAAATATGACATGCTATTTGATAGAATTTAATATTAAAAGTCAAGGTAAAACCTATTATTCTCAAAATCTAACAATGACATCCACATTTACAATAGGCAGACCAACAACAATATAGATTAAGACATGACAGCAAATGAAATCTAACACAGCATTCCAATAAATGCATATTAACAATAAATAAGAAATTATAGAGCATAAGAATTCAACCATTAATGCACTGACCTTAGCAGCTGTATATCAGAGGGAAGAATCTGCAAAGAAGCTTAACTATAAAGAAGATTTCAGGGGCACGTTCTAAATGAAAGAAGTAATCTTTAAATAGAACAAGTAAAACCTTAAAATTAGCTCAATATTATAGCTGTAGCATTTTCATTGGCCAAAAGAATAGAGCTATGCAATGTCCACTGGATATAAAAGTAGGTTTCTTATACTTCGAGTTGTGCAGTAGCATAATTACTTAGCTGTAAAAAATGTATTGAGACATATGCTTAGCATGACTTTGACTTTTATGTAGACATATGAAGTGACAACTTTTATTTAAGATGTGACCTTTTTTTATGCACCTTTTTTTACTTGTTGTTGTATGATTTCTAAATTAAACACACTTAAAATGTAACTCAAACCGGTTATTTTAATTATATAACACGCTATTTATATGTAAATTGTACCAACAAATAGTAATGTATTAAAGCAAGGTAGTTAGATATACCATTGATCACTTTATTTAAATTAAACTCCAACACAACAAGCATTTGTACAAAAAACTGCCTACCACCTTCTTCCTTTCCTGCCTTTATCTAAATAGCTTACTCTTCCTATTATATTGAGGAAGTCTTAAATACTTTACATATTCTCAATAGAACACTGAGCATGGCAAATATAACTTGCACAGAATGGATGTCTTAGAAAACAAGGACACCTTTGCAAAATGGCCTTCATTGTAGCTGCAAAATAACAATGTTAGTTTAAGCTAGTTCTTAAAACATAATAACAAAAAACGTAATAAACTGACTTCATCTAAATGTTCGACAGTAACAACAATGCAAATAGGTTACCTGGAAAACGAACTTCATATAATATTTGCCAGCCGCAAAACATCATACGACACAATATTCTTAACACTTGACTTAAGAATAGCAGCTGATGGTTGAGGCATGTAAACAGTAACCTTAGCAGATCGTTTAGCACGTGAAAGAGCAACATATAATTGGCCATGTGAGAAACATGGGCATGGAAGATACACCAACACTCGATTCAAGGTTTGGCCTTGAGACTTGTTTACTGTCATTGCAAAACTTAATTTTAATGGGAACTGCTTACGCTCAAACTGAAATGGATACTTAGAAGAAGCCGAAGGTCTCAAATTCACTCGAGGTACAAAATAAAACGTGCCTTTATAATGGCCTGATGATATTTCACATACAATAGAATTAGGAAGAAACCCTCTACAAATAAGACGAGTTCCATTGCACATGCCCTTAGATGGTGCTAAATTGCGCAATAATATAACAGGACTGCCTATTTTCAGCTCAAGCTTGTGAGGACTCATTTCCCCCGGACAGAGTGAATTTAGAAACTCAGTAGGATATATTGTGCAGTTATCATCAAGAACTGAGTCAAAACTCACATATGTAGTAGGTACACCAGGAAACATGCCAATCATGTGTTCATTTATGGCATCTACATCTTCATTCATGGGTGTGATGATTGCTCTTTCATTAAATATGCTGCTATCAACCCCTGGGACATTAATTTCAGGGAATATTGTTGCAGCCAATGTAGAAACAGGGTTTTCATCAGGAGCACAGTATTTGATAATATGCTCTGGGAGCTGAACATAAGAATTTTCAGGTGACTGTAACTGTCCATTGCCAAGAGACAGCAAGAATGATGCATACATAGGGTCTTCTTTGGCTCGAATGTTTTCTGTTAATCGAAACTTAATCAAAAGGGGCCATATGTGAGAACTGACCACACTCACCCCTACAGCTTCTCTTTGAGTTTTACGAGGCAAAATAGGTAAAACCTGTCTAAAATCCCCCCCAAAAACCAACCACTTTTCCACCAAAAGGCATATCAGGATTACAAAGATCACGCAACAACAAATCTAAAGACTCAATATTTTCTCTACGCACCATAGAAGCTTCATCCCAAATGATAAGAGCAGCTTCTTTGATTAAAGCAGCTAAGCTCCCTTGTTTGGAACATCACAGGCAATAGATAAGTCAGAATCTAAAGGTATTTTAAATCTAGAGTGTGCTGTCCTCCCAGAAGGAATGTTAGAAGCTGCTATTCCTGATGTTTCTGTTGGCAGCACTATTTTCCCTGACAAACGAACCTCAGCATACATAGAATTATACAAAAACGTTTTTCCAGTCCCACCTGGGCCATCCACAAAAAAACATCCAGGTTTGCCATCTTCAATATGACTCAGAATGCTGTTAAATGCACTTGCCTGAGCCTCATTTAACTTGCTTCGACAATCAAGGCACTCTGGAGGGATTGGTGCATCTAAAGCATCTTCAATATCTTTTGTTACACGGATTCTATCATCTGTTTCCTCTATCAAATGACCTAGCCCAAAGTTCTCCAATGACTTGCCCATGGCTACTAAACCACTTTCAACCTCCCTCACAGTTAAATTCTTGACCTTAGATTGACAGTTTGGATACTTATAGTTGAAACCTTCAGACAAAGAACTATAAAAGCGATCCCAAAGTGCAACTGGATTACTTGGCTGGCAAAATATAAGCAGTGTTGCAAATAGCTGGCGCATTGCTGAAGGCATTTGTGCTTCTGCTGCTTCTTCCAAGCAAGCAGTAGTGGCATTGTCCTCTTGAAATAAACCGTGTCTAATTGCAGCATCTTGAAAAGTAGGATACAAAACTCCACTAATAGTTCTCAAATGCTCAAACGACGTAGGACTAATAATCTTACTAAGCAACAACCGCAAGAAGAACCGTTCCCCTTCTCCAGGAACCACAAAAGCCATTCTCCCAACATTTTTTTTTTGTAACTTCTTTTAATCCATGTCTTTTTGCTGCCATCCCACCTATAATCTGAAACAACTTCAGTATATCGCAGACCTGTGCCCCCATTAATGTGCGCATTTAGCCTAAAAAATTCTGTCAGAGCAGTTTGGCTCCTTTTCTCATTCTGAACCACTGATTCAAGATCTTCATTAGATCTGAGGTAAATTGTCTGCATATTAGGTAAGTGTACCGGTAATACCATAACAGATGGAGTCATCTCAAACAGGTCAAAACCAAATATTCTCCAAGCTGCTTCACATGGAGAAACCCATCTGCCAGCCTGAAAATTATCAATCTCATCAATACCCTGATTGTTTCCTTCACCAATATTAAAAGAGACCCTGTCATGACCCTTGTAAACATATTTATAAAGGTACTTCACTGCTTGAATAGTGGAACACACTTCAACATTCAAATGACAGTAAAACAACATTGATAAATACGGATTATAAGGAATAACCCATCTGTTGTCAAGAGTAGCACCACGTATCCGTACATGTTCTCCTGTATTCCTTCTTTTATACAATGGGAAACCATATTCATTGGTTGTGGTTTCTTTGATATAAGATCTAGGGTAATTGTATTTGCAGACAACATCATCTCCAACCTGTTTTTTCATGCACCCACAGTTAGGGTGTAAATTACCACAAGGGCCATGCATCATGTGCTTTAGAACAATTTTGCGCAATTCTGGAGAATCAGTTGCAGGGATTTCTGCACTCACAAACCGATCATAATCCGAAGGACCAGTAAGTTTATATCCATGATCTAAGATAATAAGAAAGTGAGCATGTGGTAAGCCTCTTTTCTGGAACTCAACAACATATACCATGGCTGCCACCTTCCCAAAGACCCTTTCCTCTGTTATTTGTTTTTTCAAAGCAATTAACTTTGATCTAAAAACACGGGCAATAACATCTGGACGATCAGCTGCAACTTCTCCCTCGGAAAGCTCAGCCGTTATCTCTGGCCATTTAGCATTACATGTCATTGTGACAAAGAGATCTGGCTTACCAAATCGCTGCACAAGAGCCATAGCATTTAAGTATCGCTTCTTCAGATCGCGAGGTCCACCAATAAAAGTTGGTGGTAGAATAACACGCCGCCCAACATTGCTAGCATTTTTCTCACCATCCTCAACAGTATCCAGAATACCCTGATACAGATCTGCTCGAATTGCTTGCTGATTTCTTCTGAAAAAATCAAGCCTAGTGTTTTCAATCTTTACATACATATCAACAATGTATTGCTGAAAGCATCTACCTCCACGAAGAAGCATGTTGCCTGGCCTAATCTGCAGCTTGTATGCATAATATTCCCTTGGAGAAATATGCCTCTTAGATGTTCCTGATGAGTTTGTAGCACCTGTATATTCCAACAAACTTTCAAATTAAACTCCATATATAGCATTTACAACTAAAAACCAGGCATTTAAAGGAGAAAGATGCCTGCAACTAACAACTCACGTTTAGCCTCTTCTTCTATAAAACTCTCTGCTGAATGCACAGCACAAGAATCAATAGGATCAATGTCCATCAAGGCTTCTTGCTGTGAATTCTTATAAATCTTCCGCATACCTTGAGTCCACCCACACTCACCATATGGGAACAGGAGAGGATATTGCAACGGGTCATAGCATCCATAATAATGATATATCCTATGAGGATCATTGGACCTGCCTGTCACAACAATATATGGACTGTTGTAATCACTGGAAGACGTACTGTCTGGCCATATAGCTGCTACTTCGTCAGTTGATGGTGCATTATACACTCGCTGATCTAACACAGTGCTCTGATTAATGGCTATTTGTGTAGAATGAGTTATGGTGAGCTCTCTTAATGACCTGAAGAAGCGAGCATATGGGTTTGCATTTGTGACACGCATCAAAATCTCAACAATGTCTCTTCTAACCTCAGGAAAAGTCTTTGTCCTATGTTTAGCCTCAAACTGTGCATCATAAAAATATAATTGCAAGTATTTAGGCTTCTCATCTTCTGGTAACAAATCAGGCAAGTTGTGATAAATCTGACCATGCAGTAAGAAAACATAGATTCCTTTCTCAATCTTTGCATTATATTTGCCACCAAGAGAGCAAAATGCAAATAAATTATTATACATGCGAGAATACTTCCTAAAATGTATTGCATCCTCATCCTGCGATGTAAAGAGCCGATACAGTTCAATAGGCAAGGCATTCACAGCAATCTGAATACTTCCATTTCCACAACAAAAATGGAGCCATTCATACTAGAACTTTTTAGCCCTGCACTTTATACAATAATGTGCATTCTCCAATTGTAAAGGAGCCAGTGGCAAGGGCTGACCAATAACAGCAGCTGGTTCTTCTGCAAAAATATTGTGTTAGCATTCAGAACTGTGCAATATACATATACAAGCAAAAACAATAAGCAACCAATGCAAGCTTACTCTTCTTCTTTTGAACAGGAGCTGTAGGCACTTTTGGCTTGGGCTGAGTTTTTTTTTTTGCTATTCCTTCGTGCACCTTGTGCACTACTTTCGCCAACTTCACTAAACACAAAAAACACGTATAAAGTGGAAAACTCATAACTGCATCCCATAACATATTTTTTAAAAAAAAGAAAAAGAGGATATAGAGCTATCCCAACCTAATCGAATTGTCTTTTGAAAGTCCATCTATCCGCTCTAAATAAGTGACAGCTATTATCACTCCCTCTGTTTTCAAAATTACGTTAAACACAACAAAGAGTTCATGGCAAATTCAAAACTATTACAAGAACATCATGCTTACTGTCTTTTTGAGGATGCTTTGGTTTATGAGCTTTACTTGGCTCTCTCTTATTCTGTTTGCTGAGCACTTGTGATTGCTTAGCATGGCTTTTAATAACAGCACGTTATTTACAAAATAAGCTATTATCATGTACACAACCAACACAAAAACTGTACTATAACAAACCTAAATCAACCTGATTTTATCCGCAGCCTGAAGAGGCCCAAAAGCACGTGAACGTTTAGTAGAACGCTGCCTCACATAATCCCCACTGGTTCCAAATGATTCTGTAAGTAACCCTAACAAAGCATTAAGATCAACATTTCACAGTGCAGTGAAATCTCCTAGACAATAATCTATTAGTTCCTGCAAACAAACCTCTCTTCTAATATGTAAAGTCCTTTTCTTGGCTCCTCACATACTGAGCATATGCTTTCCAGTTTACTAAGCAACTATAAACATACTTTCTTTCAAAAAGAAAAAACATACTTACCATCCAACTCCACAGAAGTGTAGTTAGACTTTGCCCCTGACCCTCCATTAGCTTGACCACCAATGTTACATGTTCTTTTTGCATTGGTGCCAACCCTTATGCCTTAGTCCCACCACTGCCCCTACCTGCCTGTCTTGCACCACCACCAGCTACCTCACTAAATTCACAAGCATAACCCATGAATATACAAACAAATGACAGCAATAGGCACATTACTAATAACCAAACCCAACCTGTTTTTATCTGGCTCTAAAAGTGCACTAATAGCACGTGATCGTTTGCTAGAACGCTGCCTCATACTATTTCGACCATCTTTAAAAGCATCTGTAATGTGCCCGTGCATTACATTAGGACCAACAATATACATTGCAATGGTTGCTTCCAAAAAATCATCCTATCTTCTAAACAAAAGTACAGCTCCCTATCAAACTATTTCAAAATAATTATCTACCTTAAAACATGCTAAGCACATACCCATATATTAGAAGTGATTAAGCCAGTAACTTGGAACGATACAAACTAACTGAATCCTGTATGCTGCACCACATGATAGGCTGAAGTTATGAAAATAAATACACATACTGTAAAATAACAAACAAATGGAGGCTAATAATATTGAGTAGCAAACACAAAAATATAACCAGAAAGAGGGCCATTTCATAATTCATTCCATTCAGACCAGCAAAAGTACACACCATTAAATGGTTATGTCTAAAGTTAAACATTACATATCATGGCACAACACTACAAGAAAGACAATAACAACTCCAACCTAAATCAGCAACAATAAGCTATAAGCCAAAATAATACACAAGAAGCTGATACTGATAAACCAAAAGACCACTAAGCCCCAACCAAGTTACCCAAAACTTGCTAAATCAAACTACATCTTCCTACGCTTAAATACAGCTTCTAGGTTCTCAGGTACTGAAACAAACAGACCATCCAGAACTGGAACAGAACGTTGAACAGCATGCTCACCAAACGAAGATGATGCCTTAGGCTTACGAGGAGCTGCTGGAGGTAATGCAGGAGTTGGGATCTTATGATAACCAGAACGGGGGGTTAAGCAATTATCCCCACAATGTACGGAGCTAAATGCAGATCTCCTTGCTTCCCAATGATACGCTCCCTAACAGACATGTAGCTTTCCCTAGACAATGCACACTTTATACCAGAATACACTCCCTTTCCATGGTTCAAATCAATTATGTCTACATTGTAACAGATGCGCAAGAACTGAATAGCTCGTTTTGCAGCATCTTGCTTTGCAGCCTTGCAACTACTCATCACCTGGCTGTAAATACACTCCATATCAATGCTACCAGGAGGATAAACTGTCAACCAAGCAACCCACTTTGTTGTAGCAAGTTCAGCCACTTCAATTACAGAAACCCTTGCCTTAGTTGCAACAACAACTACACGCAGCACATCAATGTAGTCAATGCATATGTATTTGTCACCATGTGGCCTAACTGGTGGGACAGGCCACCTGTTCTTCTCCGGAGGCTTAGGCTTGTTCAATGAATCAATAGCTATACGCTTCATCTCATAAAGGAAAGCACATAGATCAAGCCTATACTTGGCTTCTGAACTTAGATCATGTATCTGCAATCCATACTCTGCTCGCAAAAACCGGGTAGCTTGTTCAGCAGCAAATTCCCGAGAGGCATCAAGGGTGACAGCAGGCCCACCCTCAAAAATATAAGGGGAAAGATCACAGTCAGTAACCAGAGTAAGGGTAACAGCATTCCCAGTGATGCCAGTCAAGCTATAAGTAGGAGCTGCCAGCTTCAGGAATCCAATAACCTGGTTCAGCAAGCACTGAAACGAAATGGTCACTTTCAACGTTTCTGGCCTCATTACCTGTGTGCATAACCAATTTAGACCATCAGAACCTAAGCAGCTACAGCGCACAACGACAGCTGGTCACGGAACCAGCCTACCACTCATAACACCCTACCAAACCCTACAAATGTAATTAATCCATGACCAAAGCTATTGCTAATGTCACCACACCACAACTTTAAAGCTAGCTAAAATATAATCTAAACCAACAACAGACAGAAAACACCCTTAAAGCACCAAATAGCACAGTTCCACCATACAACAAACTCTGAAAGGCAAACACACATACGAAGCAAGCATAATAGCAGCGCAAAACAATAACATACAGCAGCAGCACACTCGATCATGGCAACACATGCATAAACCAAACAATAGCATACCAAACAGACATCTCCCAATAACATTAAAACTTTAAAACTAACATATGAAAATGAGCACTCACAACAAATTTTACAGCTAGCACAGCAATCAGCAACACTTGTTTACAACCTGCATCAGAAATCAGAACAAAATCATCAGAACCAAAATTAACAGATCAATAAAAATACCAGCACCAGTAATCACTATCCATGGGCATTAACACGAAACCATCAACAAACATCCATTACTCTAAAGCCAAAAATCTATTATATCCATTGTTAGTCACAATAATAACACTTTATCCTAAACATCTGCCAAACCAAGCTAATTAGATAAAGACACAATAAATCCTAACACAAACACTCAAACTTATTAGATCATAATACTACGTTATCTAATCCAGGCCTCATCTTGATTATATTCTTTTTAGCAACCCATGATCATCAATACTTGTTTACACCTCACAACAGAAATCAACACAAAACCATCAAAACTAAAATAAACTAACCACTCAAAATACCATCATTATTAATCACCATCCGCAGGCATTAACAGCAAAGCATCAACAAACAACCAATTAATCTAGAGCCAAAATTTTATTTTATCCATATTCAACCACAAACGTAGCATTTTATCCTAAACACCCAATCAACCAACCTAATAATATTAAACCACACTAAATCCCAACACAAACACTTAAACTAATTAGCTCATAATACCACACTATCTAACCTCGTCTTCCCTTTCATTTCCCCTTCACTGTATTATGACCATGAGTAAACAAAATTTTGTTTTTTTAGCAACCACTCTCTTCAAATGATAGAACTAAAACTGTTAATAACACTATTTCAACATCAAAACATGAAAAACAATCTAAAAGTGTCACTGCAATAAGTTCAGCCTCAAAATTACTCCCATCAGGCTAACCAAGGAACAATGTTATAAATCCACATAGTACAATCTATGAATTATCAACAGCTTTGTCATGATCTTTATGTATAATGTCCAATGTTATTTTCCCAAGGTTTAGTACAATATTTTGGTAATACAATCAACTGCAATCATGCATACAAATGAAGACGATCATATATTAATTCATGTAGATTTCATGGAATTTACACCAGAAAGCTACCTAATTAAGATAAGCTAATTAAGTTCCTCACCTATTCCTATTCAACTCTTTCTGTGTTTCAAGCTCAACTGCCTCTATTTTGCTGATTAAAAATAACACTACAAGACCATTTATATAGTCCTGAGTTAAACACCTAAACCTGAGAGCCAAAGAATGCTTTAAGAGGTGTTAGGCATCATTACCCACACCGTCAAACACAGCTTTGAGCAGCATGCGCACACACCCTTAAATCCCCTGAGCAATAGAGTGAGCTAAGATGATCACTGTAATATCCAAGTAACAACCTTTTAACCAACAGGCAATACACTGCAACCCACGTAGTTCAGCAAAGTTCACACTAACAATCACCATAAATCCACCATCTACTTTCAAACCATATTCCAATCACATTTTAAATAAAACTTAAGTAAATAATTTCCTGACTAATTCATAAAATAACCACTGTAAACAAAAGTTACCGCTAATTGAAAGTCCTGCAAATTACCACAACTAATTCAAGGCTCAAGTCTTGCAAAATACCCAAATTAACAACATAACAACATCATTAATCAAAACTACTATGAATTCAAAACCAAAAGAATTTATTTTATACCAGTCATTATTTCTCATTGCAATGTGATATAATAATTCAAAATTAACAAGCACAACAACAAATAATTAGATTAACAACCCAACACAACCTGAAAGTTTAGCACAACAATATTTAAACTGCGAATTCAAAACCACCAGAGTTCATTAGCAATCAGCCACAATTTCTCATTACAAGGTGTTATAATAATCCAAAATTAGCAAATTAACAACCTAACACAATCTGAAATTTTAAAGTAACAGTATTCAAAGTACGAATTCAAAACCACCAAAGTTCATTAACAATCAGCTACAAATTTCTTATTACAAGGTGCTATAATAATCCAAAATTAAGAAGTACAATAACAAATAACTACATTAACTATAACAATTAGATCCCCTCCATAACAATCCACTTAATGTATCCCCTCTCCATAACAATCCACTTAACGCCTCTCTGTTTAGGATTAGGATTTAGGATGATGTGTACAGCTCATCGCATACATGAACAAACAGCTCCACGTGCAACCTGTTTTCTGCTTTTAAACAAAAAATAACGAAAAACATATTATCAGATAATCAGAAACAAAAAAATCAAAACACTGTTCATAAGGGAATTCAGCAAAAAAAATAGGCAGTAAGTAAGGGCAGAACCGTCACTACACTGTTCCTAAGGAAAAAGCAAAAAATCGGCTACCTTCACCCTTGAATTTGGCTTTTAAAGGTTACGGATACATATAAAATAAAAGAAAAAAAAAAAACCCTTAAAGTCGATATAAGTAAAAAATATATTCTCGTATTATTTAGTTTATAAATGTAATTCTTTTTCAGCATATAATTGTTTTTTTTCCTCTTTTTTTTCCTTACGGGCTTTACTCTAAAGTGTTACGATGTTTAGGCTTAATTTGACATATGATTGTATTAAGATATGTTTGGGAAATATCCTAAGATTTGGTGAATATTTAGATTTACTAGGATAATATATATTTCTGCCAGTGGCGATTCTATAGAATCCAGAAGCTTATCGTCGTCTCGTGGGACGGTTATATATCTCGCGGTCACTCGACCAGATCTTGCCTACTCAATTCACATTCTATCACAGTTCATGCAAGAACCACACATAAAACAATGGGAGGCAACCTTGAAAGTTGTTCGCTATCTCAAAGGATCTCTCGGCAAAGGCATATTGTTGCGCTCAGATAGTGAGCTCAGTTTTGAGGGGTGGTGTGACTAAGATTGGGCGGCATGTCCCCTCACTTGACGCTCGTTGACAGTACATGTGTCTACTAAAGATCAATTGGCGGATATATTCACTAAGTTCTCGGCAAGGCTCAGTTTGACTATCTTCTTTCCAAGTTGGGCATTTACGAATCTCATGCTCCAACTTGAGGGGGTATTAAGATATGTTTAGGAAATATTCTAAGATTTGGTGAATATTTAGATTTACTAGGATAATATTT